ATATTAAAATTGATACAAGAAACTTGTGTAAAGCTGTAGCTTCAAGATGCAAGCTTAAAAGTTCAGAAATTTTAAGTGGAAAACGAGTTATTAATTAATTTTCAATATGGCGTCTTCAATGTATTAATTCCTATGACGCGTTAATCGTTAATAAATAATTAATGGAAAAGAGTTTCTTATTAAAATTGATATGAGAAACTTGTGTAAAGCTATAGCTTCAAGATGCAAGCTTAAAAGTTCAGAAATTTTAAGTAGAAAACGAGTTATTAATTAATTTTCAATACGGCGTGATTAAAAATCTTTCTGTCCTTCTTGCACAATGTTGCGTACCTTGTCTGTGACGTCACACAGTTCGCATACCTCCTCGTATATTCTGCTATGCTAGTAACAAGTCAGAGCTTCTGCGATCCAAACGCGAGATGGCGCTAATGTCAGAAACTTTTTTATCAACCTAACTTATCTATTTGATTAAAATGTATTTCATCAATATTTAAGATAGAATTTACACATAAAATGTAATGGTATATACAATAATAGTTTTTACAATATATAAAAATGTAAATATATATATATATATAGATTTTCTCAAAGACATTTTCTCAAAAACAGGATAAAATAGAAAATTAATTATTGGCGATATGATTGATAATTTGAATGTTCTACTTTATCCTGTTTTTAAAAACATATCTTTGACATTCAAAAGATGGCACTAGTTTTCAATTCTTACTTTCTTACTCTGTTTTATCCTACTTTTGGAAGAGATATTTTTGGTACTTGAAAGATGGCGCTGAAAGTCAATACTTGCTCTATAACTCTTATTATTTTCTATTCTTTATTTTTCGTATTTTATTTGCGGTATATTTTATAGATGGCGCTGATTTCAATATTTTTAAACTATCTTTGTCTTTCTCTCACTTTTTGTTTTTTTATTTCTTTTTAAATGTGATTATAGGCGCCGTACAAGATCAATTGAATATATTTTCATTATTTTCTTTTCGAGGAAATAATTATCTTAATTGTATTAATATATTAATTATATTAATTATATTAATTAATTATTATATTAATTATAATAATTAATTAATTATATTAATATAAATCTTAATATAAATCTAATTATCTTAATTGTAATATAAAAAATATAGATATAAAGATATAAATAAAGATATAGATTCTTATATAGTTTATAATATAATCTTAGAATAACAAATACCGATCGATTACAGACAATTATTTAAAATTTTATAATGAAATTTAATTATTTTTAATTATTATTAACATTTCAATTCTCTACCTCGTAATTCAAATTATATATAAATTTCTAGCATTTAATATGAAATTGTGAAAATATTGTTTCTTTTTGTATTTTCCAAAAATATGATAACTTAAAGACATAAATATGCAAAAGTATATATAAAAGTAAGTATAAGACAAGACAATGCATCAAATTACATAATTAGAATTAAGTAAAATGATGAAAAAATGTTTAGTTCCTGAAAATATAACAAGAAATGAAAATAAAGATAGAGATAAGTATAAAGTATAAATAATTAGAATTAAGAAAAACGTTAAAAAAATGCTTAGTTTCTGAACATATCGTAGCAGAAAGAGGTAAGTATGTAAAGGTAAGTAAAAAAATAGGTAAGTATCAAAAAATGTTCACGTATCACTTTTTTTCAAATTATATTCTCGTAATACAAAATTTTCCAGTCGAAAAATTGTATCGAAACCTAAAAATTTTAAATTTCGAAAAGGCGGGAAAAATTTCGCGTGCCACCTCCTATATTATTATATTCTCTTATTACAAAATCCTAAATTGAGACAAAAATTTTTGCCGGCCAAAATTTCGACAACGTATTAGGAGAACATAAGTTGAAAGGTGGTTGCTCGAAAAATTTTTCCAAGAAATCCGATTCCAAGAATTTTCGCCCAATTCCACGAACTTTTGCTCGAGTTTCAAATTTTTGACTTTTAACAGGAGAATATAAGTTGAAAAGAGGTTGTTCGAAAAATTTTTCCAAGAAATCCGATTCCAAGAATTTTCGCCTAATTCCACGAACTTTTGCTCGAGTTTCAAATTTTTAATTAAGAATATAAGTTGAAAGGAGGTTGTTCGAGAAATTTTTCCACGAATTCCAAGAATTTTTATGAAATTTTATATATCTATCTATTCTATCATTTTTTCTTTAACTATCAAATTTTTCACATTTTTTTAATTCTAAAAATATTTACTCTTTATATACTTATCTTTTACTTACCTTTAATTGATTTTCTTTTTTTGATATTTTTTTTTATATATTTTTTTATTAGTTTTCTTAATTTTAAAAATATTTATACTTACCTTTTACAACTTTTTGAGATTTTAAACGTTTTTTCAACAGTTTTCTTAATTCTAAAATACTTACTTTTATATACTTACCTTTTCGTAGTATTGAATTTATCATCTTAAGTATTTCTCCTTTTTTTGATATTATTAAAAAGAATTTCAAATAAAAATTGATTGGTTTTAAAGACATCATTATATTTGACTTAATTCATTTTTTTATAAACGAATGCATAAAAAAATTATTAACTTTTTTTTTAATGAGATTATGCATTTTAATGCATTTATAGCTAAATATTCTCTGAAAAAGTACCGAGTCATCCTAGTTAAAAAATTACTAATTCAAAAGATATTCAATTATTTTTTAAATAAATGGTTTTTTATGGCTAATAATTTTTTATAAAAACTCATATGCTATATTTGTTCATGCACACAATAACGTATATTCTATTTAAAAAAATAATTTGATCTTCATATTATTTCTATGCATTCATTTACAAAAAAAATATTACTTTATATTATACTCTTTTTAAAATCATTCTCTTTTTAACCAAAACATTATCTAATATTATTAAATTTCTTTACGATATTTATATTTCTAACTTAATATATAATATCTAATTAGATATTATATTTCTAACTTAAGCCTTCATTAATCCTTTTGTTAAATATTTCGTTAGAAAGATAATTCTATTAACTTACCAAGGATAAGAGCTGCCAGCTATTGTGCACCAGTTTTGCCGTTGAAAATCACAAGGAAGATTCGACAATCGGGCACGACCAGCCCGAGAATACGGTTTAGTACAAGCCGAGGACGCATCGTATCCGAAAGTGCTTGGTCCACCACCTCCTTGACATGTTACAAGCTGATATACGATCACCTGTGCAAATTTACAGAGAAATTTCGCTCAAAATCCATTCCGTTTCGATTAATCTTCGTCTTGTCGTCAATTGACACGAATCATGATTCAATTAAATTGTTAAATTGAAATTATAATCATAACACCTCGATCACACATGAATCGAATATCACTCACCTGAAAGACGAAATGCACGATCACATTCATAACTCGCGTTTGATTGACGTTTAATCCACAGTTTGGACCTGCAACCCGTTTAGGTCCGAATATATCACACTGTTAATCGACAGGAATCTGTTACAGAGGACGAAAAGTTCGTATAATGTTTCTTCTTTTCTTACATCCAGAAACACTGCAGCAACGTTTCAACAAGAAAGAAATATCCGCTAAAACTGTCGCTGTACACAGATCACGATCGCGAAAAAATTGGAAGAAAGAAAAAAATGGCACTATAGGTTACACGGCCATTGATAGAAAACATGGGTGCAGCGTTTTCTATGTAGGAAAAGAGAACATGGCACGAACTTTTCGCCCACAATAGCGTTTTCACTGGCGTAAAAAAAGAACAGAGGCTACATGACAGCACCTCCGCGCGCGAAGAGGACGCTTTCATTACTGAGCGTGTAATCAGCCGGCGTCGCGTGCGTTGGCAAAACTGGTAAAAGTACTTATACAGCGGCAAGTGTCCTCTGCGTGTATACGCGATCGCGTTCGACTCGTTCGGTTGACCGACAGAGTTGGAGGGAGAGGCTTAAGAAGAAAGGAGGAAGAGAGAGCACGTCCAGAGGCGAAGAGTAGGTCACCAAGGAATGTACCGTTACATTTCGGCCCATCGATGTGTGTCACGGGGCTCCGCAGTGACGTAGCAAGGGCTCTCCTAGCCGCACACTTCTTGCTTAACATCTTCTATACCTAACCTAACAAGTCCAATCGCTGAAAATAGCAATATTGTTCCGAACAACTAGATGCGCCACTGGTCTATGTTGCCGCCACTCGCTTCTCCTCTTCTCTTTAAATCGCCATTCGCGCTGCATCTCTCGATATCTGCTTATGTCCTTTCTCTTTGGCATCGTTCTTTTTTTTTGTAAACGATCGATGCTCGAAGAAAGTACGGATGAACACGATCCCCTCCATCGATTTCGTATCGGCTATCTCGAAATGGCTCGTTTTGTTTACGTACGAACAGAACAAACTATTTAACGAAACTTTCCGCATGTTCTACTAACCTCAAAACTACTGTCACTTGAAATTTCTTTCATTGGATTTTTTATTTTTTTGTTTTTTGTTTTTATGCAACGAAACGTTCATAAACAAAGTGTTGAAAGTGTAATGCTTTCGTTGTCGCACAAATATAGATACGAATTATGATAATTGAATCAACAAACTGTTCTCAATATACTTGGCATTTAGCGTTATATACGTTCGGTTGATTTTTATGGCATGACAGTTTTAAACGAATAAATAAAATTGAATACATTTTGCGATAATCATTCTTATTTGCTCACACATATTCTGTAAGCAAAATTCTGCTGAGTTTTCTCAAAGATGTATCTTTTAGTCTAAATAATTTTAGCCTAAAGGTAAAGCAGCATTATACCATTCCGTTAGGTGAATAGGATTGGATTATTGGAGCATCGTTTCGCCCGATTACTAGTTGGCAAAATACCAGTTTGCCGTGGTCGCTGGTGAACGCAGATACTGGTTCTTGCATCTTCACCTACAAGTAGAAAAGAAAGCTGTTCGTATTCGGAGTGCTCGCGCGCATTCTACGCCATTAGTGATCTTTGATTATGCTACAATTTCTGATAAGCGTTGCCAATTCTGATTACCGGTCATGCGTAAACTCGCTCGAATCTAATTTCAGGGAACTAGAAAATGTTGAACGCTTCAAGGCATGATGTTCTAAAATGGTACATCGAATGCATACCATCCAATTTGCCATTAGATTTACATAATTCGATGTGATTTTTTTTCATTTTTATGATATTTCGAAGATATAAATAATATCTTTTTATAAATATTTTTTCAAAATATTTTTCAGTGTGATACTGAAATACGAATATAAAATGAAAAAATGAAAAAATATAAAATGTCATAATTTAAGATTGAAGATTGCGGCTTAAGTGTGTGAATTAAATGTTAATATTTTATATATTGTTAAAATGAAGTAAAAGTTTTGTAGAAATCAACGAATGTAAAAAATATAGCAGTAATATTTTTAAACATGATCGTTGCTCTTTGCAACGAGCAATTTAATTAAAAGTCGAATAATTATTACATTTGTATACATTATAGCGATATATCACATAGTTATATTTTATACAAATATACATCATTAAACATTTAAATTTTTTATTACTCAAAAATTATATTTAATATTACAAAACGATCAGTCAAGAAGAATTTGATTGCTAAAATATATATAAAATTTTTTAATAAAAATTTCCTTTTAATTCTTTATAATATTGTCGCAATTTCGTAATTTATTCTACGTAATTTTTATTTTTAGAAATTATTTATATATAAATTTGAAAATTTGTTATTAATATCATGCAATTTCTTTATCTTTCGTCCCAAATGAAAATAATCATCAATAATCGATTAAATTATTAAATCAATAAATGTTTTTAGCCTATGCTTCAGTCATTTCTTCTCTTGTAGGATCTTTGCGAAATTTCCAAAGTCCTCCTATATACCATAAAACAACGCAAGAAAGACTTAAAATTGATGTGAAGTGGAGAGCACCGACGTAGCTCATCATCCAATCATGTACTACACCTTAGAAATAAAAAAAAAAAAAATATTTAATATCTGTCCAATATTTATAAGCGATAGAATTAAAAATATTTCTTTACCTATAAATGGGCCTATAATAATAGATAAAATTCCATTGCAAACCATTTGCATTCCGTACGCAGCCGGTAGTCTCTCGAGAGACACGTAATCAGGAATTATTAACGTTTGGAAGACCGCTTTTGTTCCTTTTGCGACCCCAATAATCAATGCGACACCTATCACCACCACATAAGTATTTCCCCAAGTTGACAATACTGAAACATTGAACGTAAAAATCACTGAAATGAATTTTATCTTAATATTTCGAAGAACTTGATAAATATATACATACTTTCTAATAGTACGTAAGATAAATACGATATAAAAGAAAAAAATTGATTCAAAAAAATTGATCCCACTCGTAATTTTGCAGATTACCATAAAGTTGAAATCAATCCACCCAGCAGATCGTAAATCGGTTGGCGTGAAGGGGTCGATTTCTCATTTTCGAATATTTTACGTTGCTTTTACGTACTGGTCCTTCCAATGGTGGATCCTATCAAGGAAACCACATAAAGGTTCCTCGATGTCCAACCGGCCTTCTGCGCCAAAAATGGGACGCAGAGACGTCCGGTGATGTCCGAAATCGCTTGGATAGACATGATGGTGGCGATCGAGGTCCTTTCCAGTCCGGAAAGTTCGGTAAGAACGAAAGGTATCATTGTGTTAAAATTTGTTTCCGCGACTAAAGATATTCCCATACCTGTTCAAAAAGTGACTATTATTGTAAAATTACTTGTAAAATTGTGATTTATAGGCGACTGATTAATTTTCTATCTTCTTTCATTTTTCGACTGAACGTTTAATTATTGTGTACATAATACATTGTGTTACACTTTACTTTGCTTTGAGTGCTCTTATCTGTTTCACTCGACGAGTTGTCTACTTATCGTATATTTTTTTTATCAATGCACCATCGAAACCGTATCGATATTTATTCGTTGTTCGATTCTCGAACGAATCAAAAAATTATATTCTTATTTATCGAATTCTTTGTGAGTTACCTAAAATAATGGCTACGTAACGAGCATCCTTCAAAAGGTCAAGATCCATCTGTTCCATAATCGTTGCCCAAACTTTTTTCTCCTCTTTCACCTTTTCCATGTTCGCGTTCTTCTGTCGTTCACTCGACACGTTCCCTTTCTTTTCCGATTCTTCTTCCAATAATCGACAATTGGGATCGACACCATTCTCCACGTTTAATTTCACGGTAATTTCTTTCACTGCATCGATGTCGTTGCTCTTTTTTATTCTTGAGATCTATCATAAATCAAATATCTAACAGTTAATCATTGCTACCTAACCTGCAATTTTAAAGACACACGTACGAACTACTTTGCTCACTGCTGGAAAGAAAGAAGTCTTACGGGACGGTATAGGGGCAAGAGGGGTGCTTCGCTAGAACCGTTTATCCCCACTTCAGACGCTTTGTTGACGATGCTGCCATTACACTCTACATAGTAATAGAAGAATTATAATTTGAATATTTAAAATCATAAAAATTATTTTTATTTATAAAGTTATGTTAGAATAATCATTCAAGACTGGAAGCTGAAATACTTTCGAAACTATATTTCTTATTCGTATACATACAATTATTATGAGAAATAAAAACATTTTTATATTATATCGATACGTTAGAATTCTCTCGATTCTATGCCTACGCTACACCGAGGATTAGTATACGTGACAAATACCATGAAATAAAAGTACGTGTGAAAATAGGCGTTTCCTTCCGAATTAACCAATCAGACATCTTTCCAACAATGAACAGTACAAAGAATATGTTTTAACTCGTATTTTCTCGCCGATAGATTGAAAGATATAGAAGAGAAAATATATCGTGATAAAAATATATCCACGTTAAAAGAATATCGAAAAAGAAAAAAAAAAGAAAATACATTTAAAAATGTGATTAAACTCACTTGTTTCTCCTTAAATGGTTTGAGAAGTGACGCTCCGATCAACGAGTGCATGGATATGGCAGAGAGGATCAAAAGAGTCCCGGTGGTCGCGTAATTTTCCAATAATTTCACGATTAAAAGGGGCATCAGGATAGGTCCAAGGCCGGTTAACGTGACCGACAGTCCCATGGCGATGTTCCTCTTCTTTCGAAAATACGTGTTCATAGCGAGATTCGTGGCTGGAAACATGATACCATGCCCGATACCTAGAAATTAATTTTTCACTTTTTTAGTTCTCGTTTCTCGAAAATCGATCTCTTCTGCGAAGATGAAAAAAAAAAAAAATGGAAAAATGGAAAAAGACAAAGGGGCGATTCATACAACAACTACTCACCCACGATAATGCAATAAGTGATGATAATGGAGGGCAAGGAGATTGCGTATGCAGCTGCACAGATTCCAATGATGACAATGAAACTGCCGAGAAACGCGACTTTTCTGAACGTGAATCTCTTCATCATTGGACCGCTTATCAGACCCAGGCTACACGTGATCGTACCATTCAGATGAACAATTAACGATGTTTGTGTGGCGGTGATATCGAGTGAAAAGAAACGTTCTCTAAAGATTAGACCGAAAGTTTGTTGTATCGGAAGTATCGCTAGCTGCAACATATTTATCCCATGACCGATAAGTCAGATTTGCATGTATTTATTAAGCGTAAGTTTTTATTTTTGTTTTTTGATAAAAGAAACTGATAATATCACAATAACTTAAGCAAATAGTCGATATAGTTCTTCTTTATCGTTTTAATTAATCGTGAAATTAACCGTTCTTTTTCTAATAATAACGCAAAGAAAATTTGAGTAGACTAGTTTCAAATATTTTAATCCTTCGAACATTATAACATAAACGTAAAAATACAAAACTATTTTGAATATTTGAAATATTCGTATAAATTTGTATACATAACAAATTTGTCGACAAAATATTTCTGTATCTTTGTGTATACTCTCCGGAATAAAAACACGAACGAAATCGTCGAGTGTTGTTTCAAAAAAAAAAAAAAAAAAAAAAAA